CCTCCACCTGTGAATGGATGTGCCGGGTAAGATCATGGAGCATTTCATCTCTGCTAAGGCACATGGAAATTGTGGAGGTGGTTGGTGGCAACGAACATGGCTTCACCAAGGGCAGATCATGCCTGAAAAATGTGGTGGCTTTTTATGATGGAGTCACAACGTTGGTGGACAAGGGAAGAGCAACTTACGTCACCTACCTGAACTTGTACCAAGCCTTTGACACTGTCCTGCATGACATCCTGGTTTCAAAACTGGAAGGATATTGATTTGATGGATGGACCGCTTAGTGGATAAGCCTGGATGGTCACACTCAGAGGGTTGTGATCAACAGCTTGATGTCCAGGTGAGAGTCCAGTGACAAATGGTACTCCTCAGGGTTTGGTACTGGGATTGGTGCTGTTTAACACCTTTGTCAGTGACATGGACAGTGTCATCTAGTGCACCCTCAGCAAGTTTGCTGACAACACCAAGCTGTTTGGTGTGGTTGACACCCTAGAGGGAAGGGATGCCATTAAGAGGGACCTTGACAGGCTTGAAAGGTGGGCCCATGCCAACCTCATGAAGTTCAACAAGGACAAGTGCAAGGTCCTACACCTGGGCTGGGGCAACCCCAAGCACAAACACAGGTTGGGCTGAGAGTGGATTGAGAACAGCCTTGAGGAGACAGACCTAGAGGTGTTGGTAAATGAAAAGCTCAACATGAGTCAGCAATGTGCACACTCAGCCCAGAAATCCAACCGCATCCTGGGCTGCATCAAAAGAAGCGTGGCCAGCAGGTTGAAGGAAGTGATCCTGCCACTCTACTCTATACTTGTGAGACTCCACCTGGAGTACTGTGTCCAGTTCTGGAGTCCTCAACACACAAAGGACATACAGCTCTTGGAGTGAGTCCAGAGGAGGGCCACAAAAATGATCCAAGGGCTGGAGCACCTCTTTTATGAAGACAGCCGGAGAGAATTGGGGCTATTCAGCCTGGAGAAGGCTCTGGGGAGTCCTTATAGCAGCCTTCCAGTACCTGAAGGGGCTACAGGAAACTGGGAAGGGACTTTTTACCGGGGTGTGTAGTGATAGGACAAGGGGCGATAGTTTTAAACTGGAAGAGGGTAGATTTAGGTTAGATGTTAGGAAGAAATTTTCAGTGTGAGGGTGGTGAGACACTGGAACAGGTTGCCCAGGGAGGTTGTGGATGCCCCCTCCCTGGAGGTGTTCAAAGCCAGGTTGGATGGGGCTTTGAGCAACCTGGTCTAGTGAGAGGTGTCCCTGCCCATGCCTGGGGGTTGGAACTAGATGATCTTCTAGGTCCCTTCCAGCCTTGATTCTGTGCAACTAACAAGAGAAACAGGTTGCTGTGAGAGGTTACTGAAGCAAAACTGAAAATTTTAAAAGTTTTGCCATAGAAGTGGAGCATGCTGAGGAGTAGTACATGTGGTTGAGGTGACTCTGCTTAGTAGGAGGTAACTGTTAAGATTTGGTAGCTCAACTGTATTTGGCTATCCTTATTGGAAAAATACGGGACTTTTGAGGGCACATTGTAACAGTAAATATGATCTATGGATAGAATTTTTGGCATCTAATCTTGGATTTTTGATGCAGACCACACAACTTATTTCTGCTGCCAATACTTGAGATGCCAGCTGGTGAATTAATTTCAGGAAAGCTATTCTCATCCAAAATTTGGATATTTTATTTCAGGTTTGCTCATGGCTAGAAAATGTTCAATGTGGGGAGACAGTAGCACCATTTTCATTAAGCATCTTTAGGCTTGCTGTTGCTAGGATTAATTTTCACTTCCTTAAATTGTAAACTTGAAGCTGCAAGTTTTAGTGTAGGATAACAGATTGTGGGGGTTTTCAACTCAATGTTTTTAAAAGGAACTAGTTATTACCTTTGTTTAAGTGTGCATGGTTTGGGACTTTTGTGTTGGTTGTATCCTAGTAAATTTATCTAATATGTTTGTCACATTGTTCACATTTTCTTACCATTCTTGTTCTTAGCTGCTTCACCTTATGTGTTTGTCTTGGGAAAAAAACAAAACAAAACTGTTTGCTGGGAAAATACAGCACTTGGAGGAGAAAATTGTTTGGCAGGTTTAAGAAAGTCATTGAGTGGTGTATTAAAAAAAATTAGTAAGTCTTCAATGTTGTATACATACATGGAGAAGCATGGCAGGTACAGGCTGTGCCTATTTATAGATAGCTTATTTATATTAGAGCAGAATGATGTATTTTGTCAAACTCTCCAGAAAATAAGTGTCTGTGTAGATTTCATATACATAAGGTGTCATTTCCCTCAGGTAAATGCTGTAGCTTCACGGTGTCAGACTAGTCTGGAGTATGCAAAGGGTTAAATAAAAAAATCAATATTCAATATCTATATTCAGTATAGGCTGTTACAGAGTTAAACTATATTCTGTTCCCTCTCCAGAGTATTTTGAAAACCACCTAGTCAAGCACAGCATCACCTTTGTAATCTAAAAAAGCAGCATTATATTGCAATCAGACACTGAGGCCACTTCACATCTCCATCCTTCCCACTGCCATCAACCATTTTCTTAGCTTTTGAGTTTTTTCCTAAGTTTGGACTTTTATGTTGTTATAGTAGAAAGAGAAAAGAAATGTGCACATTCTAGGCAGGAGGTGCTAAACTGGCTTCTTTGCACTAGTCTGGCATTTCTTGCTGTGGAGAAGCTTTCATAGAAGCCAGAATATATGTGGTCTTGCTGTTGTGTTCTACTGTGTAAGCACTCCCTGTTACCAAGTTGCTCTTCCTCTGGGTATTCTCTTACAAGAGTGCAGTCAGAGATGTTCAGAATAACTTCAATTTCATTAATGTCTTGAGAAATTGCCCTTTAAATTTTATTTACAGTTTATTTTTTTCTGTCCAGTTTGAAGAATATTTGTGTTTTTAGTGGCATGTAAAGGACCTAATTTGAATTCTTTGGCCCTGTAACAACGAAAAAACAATGTCAGAAGAGGGGGAGTGAATTTGCCTTTGAGTTAAACTTTGCAGAAGAAAAATGTGAGAAGAAGATGCAGCTATATTAGATTACACTGTGAGACAGTTACTCAAACCTTGCTGCTTTGAAAAATGAAACTGTGATTATCATGTATTGAGCAAAATTCATGGGAACATTTGAAGCAAGAGCTTCAGCTTGGAAAAATAAGACAGCAAAATACATTTCTACCCTTGCTCTATTTTGATTGTGGAGTCAATAACAAGGAAGTCACTCTTACTGTCAATTTGAAGAGTTTGCTTCTTTCTGGGGTCTATATAGAGGAGTATAAAACAACAAAATAGTGTGTCATGGAAGACCTGTTAACTCCAATCATTGCATGTTGTTTAATATTTCCATCAAGCTACTGGCAACCAGAAGCAATGTGCAAGCTTTCTAAGTGAAGAGTTAAGGAAAGATGGATTTCCTGGCTGATTCCATCTGCACTTGAAAGACACAATGGCAGCAAGCAGGTTGCATTAGCAAGTTGGTAAGATGAGACAAAGAATTGCTTACAGATGTCTGAAGGTGCAGAGAAGTGTGCTGAACCTTGGAGGGCACTGATACTTTTGCTTATCATATGTCCCACAGTTGTTTTTCTTATTGCTCTTTTTTTCCCCTCAAGGAAAAAATCACATTCTTCAGATCATCCCAACATCTTTGCGAAATCTTTGGCTGCTCTGGCTCATCTGGTGCCAAGTGCTCCTGCAGCCAGCAGTGTTGTGGCTTGCCAAAGGGCAACTTGAAGCCAGGAGCTGGGTTCATGTGTCCTAAGACAGAAACCCTTCAGGTTCTTCCTGAAAGCAACCAAGCACTGGGGAAGAGGAGCAAGGGGAAGATACCAAGAAGACATATAGCTCTGGGGCTGGCTGGAGTTTGTCGTTTACTGGGCTGGAGATGAGGTCATCCCCAATGGCTGTCTGTCTCTTCTGCCACCTACCTGTGCCCCAGGGACTGCCACACCTGGGACTGCACTGTGGCAGCATTGCTCCCATAGTCCGAAGGTTTGGATAACATGGCTTGCAGTAGCTGTAGTCACCGTGTGCTCTGAGCTGGGCTGGTTACAGAGGAGGAGGACGAGGTAGACTCTCTCTTCCCTCTTCCTTGCAGCCACCTCTGAGGTTCCCTGGGGATTTTGTCTACTTGTGTTTTATCCTCAATGTGTTGGATCAGTCTTTTTCTTTGGTGAACTCTGAGAAACTAGTTATGGCTTGACAGGGAGAATGCTCCTTTTGGCTTGTACAAGACAACACTGAAGTCATGTTTCGTATGGGAAGTTATCTTTTTTGTATATGTGCATGGGACGAAGCAGCACAGTGGACACAGACCCCAGGGAACTAGGCTAGGTCTTGCTTAGACCAAGTCCTGTTCATCTGAGAGTAGATGGGGACTCTGCCATCATTGCTGCTGTGTTTTTTTTCTCCTGATGGTTATCTACAGAAAATAATCATCAAGAGGCCAATTTACTAGTTGCATGTGAACTTCAGTGGGCAATACCTTTTAGTTTCTCCTTTGTCTTTGGAAGCCCCTACAGAGTGTCTCATGGCTTCATATCCATAGTGATGGCAGGATTATAGTGAGTTGCTGTCATCCACACAAGCACTAAGCTGTGCAGAGCCCAGCTGGCATGCGACCTCTGCAATGCAAGTGCTCTGCAGCTGGTTTGCATGTCTTCATTTAAAAGCACAGTGTCTTCCATACAGGCGTGTGTGTGCCTAAGAACAAAGGCATGGCATCATGTCTTCCAGCAGATAAGACTCACTCTTGCTCAAAATCAGCTGTGTCTCTGCACAGAGAACAGAGCTCTGACCTCTCACGGTCCTGCTGTGTGCAGTCAAGCTCTGTGCTCACTTTGCACAGGGGCTTTTCAACCTTAGACTAAGGAAGCTAAAGTTGTTGGCAAAGTTTTTTTCTATTAGTACTTTTCTAATGTATTTCCCATGCTATGTACATATTTACTAATCTCCTTCCCTTTTTTTTTTTAAATAATTTTCTTTTATTACAGCTTCTGACATGAAGAAAGATATAGAGTCTTTAATAGCCCAGGAAAAAGCAGAGATCGTTGCCAAGTATGAGAAGGTACCAGTCTCATGTTTCTTCCTGACATGCTGTCTAAGGCTGAAGCTATTTGATTAGGAATGCTTCAACCAAGAACTTCACCTCCCTGCAGGCATCACCCCATCACTCATGCCATCAGGCTTTGTGCTGGCTCTGTCTACCTGCTTCTTCCTGCACATCCACTCTCACCACATTCCCAGAGTTTTTTGCAGATCCCATGTGTGCTCAGAACAAATACAGAAAAGTCCTGGTCTTCTAGTACTTCAGTTCTCCTTTTAACAACAGTATGGCTTATGCCAGGCAGTGCTATTTGATGTACAGCCCTTCCCAGCCTATAGCAGAGGCACACTAGGGACACTGGCAAGGCATTTTTCTCTTGCCTGCATTGTATTTGTCTCTTTAGAGTAGGTTTTGGTCTTAGGGCTCTATGCCTTCTAGAATGTAGGGA